AGACCCGGCATCGAGTCCCACGTCGGGCTACCGGTGCATGGAGCCTGCTTCTCCCTCTGCCTGTGACTCTGCCTCTCTGTCTTTCTCTGTGTGACTACCATGAATAAGTAAATAAAATCTTTAAAAAAAAATAACTGAGGTCAAAGTCTCAGCACAACATGAACAGGAAAATACAGGCCCACTCCGAGGAAATAGTTTACTCTGTGAAAGAATTCTAAGACTTGGCTAATATGTACTGACAGAAAAAGGGGAAATTGAGAAGTAGACTTGAATATATCAGAGCAGGGTGTGGGACGTAAAGCTGGATAGGGGGAGTTTACAGACATAGTATAAGACAACTTTTCCAAGAGTTGGGATTTAAAGTCCTGGAAGGGCTATATCAAGTCAACCTTATTATACTTGTGGCAAGGTTGTTCACCTCTTGAACACAACAGTGGCTACCATAAATGAGGTAAGGATGTTCCTACTGCCTTGGGGGGGTACTGAGGAAGTCCTGGCAATTCCCCTCTACCCCATCCCATCTGCCAAGATAGTAAACAGGAGCAATATTTCACTCCAGTGTTACTGCAGGATGGAGCCACCATCTACCACAGTGTGCCAGAGTAGTGGTCCCCATTTTATCTCTATCCAATTCACAGATAGAAGTGAGGGGCAGTGAAATAGTGCAAGGGCAGCTCCCCTCAGAGGGGGATAGGAGCCAGTGGATAAATGCTCCCACCTTCTTCCCTTTAGGCCGCACATTCTAAAAGACGTTATGTCTACTTCTCCAAGTCCCCAGAGGAATCAACTGCCCATTTCCGATAGTATTGTCTTCACCCCTATCTAGGCTGTTCCTTTTTCTATTTTATTCTCCCTGCTTCCTAGAATCATCTCTCAAATAAAGTATTAGCATCCAAGCCCTTATCACAAGCTGTATTTTGGGGGAGCCCAAATTAAAACACACAAATTTACACTTTTGTAAAATTTACAAAAAGTAAAAAATCTTTACTTCACTTGGCTAAGTCCACTCTTTCTTTCCTCTGGTTTTTCTCTTGTCTTCATGTTTGATGATGTTGGAATGGACTCCAGCATCTTTGGGATATGGCTAAGGGGAAGTTGAGCTTTAGTCTGGGTTTAACGAAATATAATTATGTGGTTGAGCCACTTGCCCAAAGTTATTGACAGTGGGTCCAGTGTGAAGAGGCTTCCCGCAGTGCTCCAACTACCCACTGCAAGAACCTAGTTCCCCGATACCGTGATACCAATGTGCAAGGCCAGAGATGAACATTTGATTTACTGCCACTGGGTGTATGTTTGTGATGAAGGATGAACTAGGCTTTTTTTTTTTTAAGATTTTATTTATTCATGAGAGACAGAGAGAGAGAGAAAGAGGCAAAGACACAGGCAGAGGGGGGGAGAAGCAGGCTCCGTGCAGGGAGGCTGATGTGGGACTCGATCCCAGGACCCCGGGATCACGCCCTGAGCCGAAGGCAGACGCTCAACTGCTGAGCCACCCAGGCGTCCCATGAACTAGGCTTTAAATGTACTTAATGTGTGTAAAATTCTTCCAATCACTAGGTCAGTACAATTGTAAGCAGACATTCTTGTTGGTACCTACGCATAAGGTAAGATCACTCTTAACAGAATAGCCTCGACAATTTGATATATACCTTTATATCTATACAGATACATTGTTTTCTTTTGTATAAGATTTATGTAAAATAGAATTTATTACAATTCCTGTGTTTGTAGGGTACAACCTGTACCAGTACCATAAATGGCGATTATATCTTTTTGTGAACTCACACCCGATGTATCAGCTCATGCCTTAGCATTTGTCTTGGGAGGTTTGGTGGCTCCAAACAAAACAGTGTACAAAACTGCCATCCATATAGCAAAATGGCCTAAAAAAACAAATGTTCTAGTGATGGAACTTTCACACATATTTACCCACAAATCCATGAATATTGAAAAAGAGTAATTTGATTGCATAAGTATGTGACTTTGTCCAATGTAGCAACTATTATTAAATGCATTTGAATTGCTCTTGTGTGTGCCTTAATTTCAGATTGATTTTGTATTCCTTCTCAGAATTACTGACCATATCATTTTTCAATGTGTGATATCTTAGTCTGCTTGGGCCACCATAATAAAATACCACACACTGGGTGACATAAACGACAGAAGTTTCTTTTTCTCACAGTTTTGGAAGCTAGAACTCCAACACCAAGGCTTTGGCTGGTTTGGTTTCTGGTGAGGGCTACATGCAGACTGCCAACTTCCCGCCATGTCTCCCACAGCCTTTCCTCGTGGGGGCACACAGAAAGAGAGAGCTTTCTGGCATCTTCTCTTACAGGGACACTTGTCCCATCAGATCAGAACCCCACCCTTATGGCCCCATTTAACCTTTATTATTTCCTTACTCCAGATTAGACACAAGTGGGGATTATGGCCCCAACATTTGAGCTTTGGGGGGAGGGGGTTCAAACATTCAGTTCATAACAGAAGAGAGTGAAGTATCCTAGAGGAGGCTGAAGCGGCAAGCTGGAAAAAAAAAAGAAATAGAGAAAGATTGGCAGAAGCTTCAAAATGTCAGAACTCTCTTATTTATATCACAAAGGAAACTAAAATTCTAATGATCCATCTGTTTATTGTAAATCTTCATCTTATATTTCATTAAGAAAACAAGAGAAGCAGGGATTGGAGTAATGAGTCTATAAGGCAAGGCTTGCCGAAGATTGCTGGCGGCCACCAGAAGCTAAGAGAGAAGGATGGAGCAGATGTTCCCTCAGAGGTTCCAGAAGGAGCCAAGTCTACCAGCACTTGGATTTTGATTTTTCTGGTCTCCAGATCTGAGATAATAAATTTCTGTTGTTTTAAACCAAGAAAGAAAGCAAAGGAAAGAAAGAGACAGAAAGTGAGAGAGAGAGAGAGAAGAAAGAAGAAAGGAAAGAAAGAAAAGAAAGAAAGAAAGAAAGAAAGAAAGAAGAAGAAAAAAAGAAAGGAGAGAGGGAAGGAAGGAAGAGAGAGAGAAAGAAAGAAAGGGTGAAAGAGAAAGAAGAAAGGGAAGGGAAAGGAAGAAAAAAATTAAAATAAAACCTTTTAACATAGGAAACCCTCACCTTCCTTCCACCACCAAATCTACCTGCCCCCTTGCAGTTGCCCCCACGTTCTCTGCCTGCATTCCTATTGGCCTGGATGAATTGCTGCTGTTCCCATCAAAGCCCAGTCCCTCCGTGTGGGCTCCAAATCCCATCTCCTCTGGCCTTCTCAAGGACTTCCTCTCAGTGACCCCCTCCTTCTGTGGCACTGACAGTGTTTGTCTTGCTTTTGGACCATTTCTGTGTAGCATTCAAACATGTTCTAGATCTCTCTTCATGAAAAGTGTTTTCCCTTAATCCCATGTTCCTCTCCACAGCAAAATTTATCGGAAGAATTTTCTATGCTCAATGTTGCCAGATTTTTCCATTCTCTACTAGCAACTGACTTCAGCCAGTTTTAACACTCCATGGAAACTGCTCTTGGCACGATCACCAATTATTTCCATGTTGTTAGATCCAAACTACTTTGGATCTTCTTAAGCTCTGTAACCTTTGACCTGGTTATTCAAGTCAACACTCTCCCAGGCCTCCCTGAGACTACATGATCTTGGTTTGCCTTCCACCTCACTAACACTTCTCAGCCTCCTCTTCTAGATCCTTCTCTTCTGCCTGAGCCTAAAATGTTGGAGTGTCCCAGGGCTCTTTATCTATATTCTCCCCCTATCGAATTATCTCATCCATTCTCATGGTTTTATATCTCATTTATATTATGATAAAATTCCCTGAGATCCATGTCCTTGTGTAATGTCCTCCCATATCACATCAGGGTTGGTCTATGAGATCAGGAAGAGATGGTACAAGTGCTTCTAAGACTAGGTCATAGTGTGGGTTCTGCCTCCTGCTCTCTCTTGGCTCTCTTGCTTTGGGGGAAGCTAGCTGCAAGTCCTGAGGACATTGGAGCCCCCTATGGAGCTATGCGTGCCTCTTGCCAATAGCCGGTAAGGAACTCAGGCCTCCTGCCAATAGCTTTGTGGTTTTGCCATCTTGGAAATGGATCCTCCAGCCCCCTCAAGCTTTCAAGTGACTGCAGCCTGAACTAACACCTTAACTGCAACTTTATGAGAGACCCAGAACCAGAATAACCCAGCTAAGCTGCTCCCAAATTCCTGACCAATGGAAACTGTGAGATAATAAGTGTTTGTTGCTTTAGGCTACTAGGTTTGGGGGTAATTCGTTATGAATCAGTAGATAACTAATCCAGCGCCTAAGTTTTCATCTCCAGCCTTGTCCACTCCACAGCTCCAAAGTCATATATCAAAGTACTATCTGAAATCAACCCTTAAATATCAAAAAACATTTCAAAATTAACAGGGGAAAACCAAGTCATGATTCAGAAAACCCCACTACTACTCAGTTTCTATTTCGGGAAAAATCTCTATCTCAGTAATGGTAAACAGAAGGAGTTAGAGGTCTCTGGATAAAGAAAGACAGGACATAGCCTTCTTGACTAAGAAAAGTCTTGTAGGCCCTCAGCCATCTTGTGACCTATACCCAACAAGCACTACTTGCCCAAAACACATTTCTTGCAGAACTTCCTGGGATATGTTGAAATTGCAAAATAGATCCCAGTAGATGATTCCAAGGGAACAAAACATGTAAGAACAAATAACTACTGTCAGGTCAAGCCCAATAAATTTGTGGTAAAACTCCCAGCTTTGATTCAGAGGTGAAGAGTGACCTGATGCACATTCTTGAGTTACCTTTCCACAATCTAACCCCCTTTGATCACTTAAATACCAGACCAACAGGAGCCAGAGAATTGATGATGCTCATCCTTGCTGGCCCTGTGACTTCGACCTAGACCCTGTCACCGTAAGATGACTTTTGCCCCAATTCCATGCTGAATACCCTATGGCACAAGCCCTTTCATGAATATGTATGTCCCTTTGGCCTAAACATTAACCCCCCCCCCCTTTTTTTTTGTGGTTAAAGGTCAAATTTATTAGAAGATTAAGAGATGTATTAAACCTGGACTATAAATACTGCACAGCTGACTTTATTCACAGTCAAGCACAGAGATATAGTCAGTGCCAACCTATTTTGTGGATACTCTTGTTCTTTTGTTCCAAGAAAAATTTGCACCGTAAGACTTGGACTTGGGTTTTGGAACCTTCCTCTCTTCAATGTCATAGCTCCATCCATTTTTTTTCTGCAAAAGCAGATGCATCTTCTTTAGTACTGAAGGTTAAAACATGTTGGACAAAGGGTCAGCCGTTGATGGCCCAACCCATCAAAGGATTTTCCCATCGCTCCCTGGTATCAAACTCCATCTTCCATTTCTTTGTGTTGTTTACTCCAGACTGCATGTTATTGCAAGCAGGAACAAAGATCCTGACTTTTCTAGTTTTGATATGCTCTTCTGGAACACCAGTTAAAGTAGTAATATCCAATTTTTCATCAAGTGTTATGAGTTGCGTGTCTCGAGCTTGGTCCTGTGCCAACCTCCATGTGGAAGTGCTTAATGACCTGGTAGGAACCCCGGAAACGGAAACGGCGGCTGCAGCCACGGCCCTTTTCCCCCACAGCATTCGCCTCAGCGCCGCTGACATGGAGACTGCCGCCATCTTGCTGCAGGCTAACCCCCGGTTTTGTTCAAGGAGGCACTGCTTTAGGAAATATCCCTGATGCTTTCTACTTGTGGCAGGTAAAACCCTTCCTTCTCCTATTCTTTGGCTTGGTTGTGTCTTTTGGCTCTGTACCTACCAAGAAGTGAACCCAGTTTTGGGTAACATAACGACTCAGCTTCTGAGGCCAGAAACTTAGGAGTTATGATTGATTCCTTCTCTTCCCTCACCTTCCACATCAATCCAAAATGAATCTTGCCTGTGCCTGTTTACAACCATATTGCTACTGCCTTCATCCAGACCAACCAGCATCTCTCACCTGGACTGATCATCTCCCTTTTTCCGTATGTGCCCATCCCACAAGAGCAACCACAGTGAATGATCTTTATAAAGATTATTCCATGTCACCCGGCTAAAACCCTCTACTGGCTTCCCAGTACACTATAGAATAAAATTCAAACTCCTTACCAGGGTCTACAAGGCCTTGCCTTGTGTGACTCAACCCTGCTAACTCTCATTCATTCATTCATTCATTCATTCTCTAAACATTGAACCATTTTTCTGGTCCTCAAATACTCCAAGCCCATTCCTGCCTTACAGACTTTATGTAGATTTCTCCGACAGTTTCTCCTTTCTCATTCTGGCCTCAGCGAAAACATCACCTCCTAATTAAGTCCTCCTCCACCAACTTCAAAATGCAATTACAATAACTAATCATGGTGGTCATTAGGGCTGTTCACCAAATATTTCCGGTTCTCTGCCTTTCTAGACACATGGTCTTGCCCCTCTGAAGTTAGGTGTGACAATGTAACTATTTTTGCTAAGTGGAATATAAATAGCAGACATTTAAGGGCCAGTGCCTGACCTGACACATCCCTTTTCCCTGACTTGGTGATCATGGAAGCATGAGGCACAATAAGGCTTCCATCAGCCTGAGTTCCTGAGTGAGTTAGGGTGATCAGTGCCCCCCTTCCAACCTGTGATGGATGTGTGGCAGAAGTGAGAAATTAACCTTTATTGTTTCAAACAACTGAGGCTTTGGAGCTGTTTGTTACCACAGCATAATTAGCCTAACCTGGCTGATACACTATGTGCCGAGTACTGGGTGCTTTATATGTATTAACTTATTTACTTCTCACAGTGACCCTGTGACATAGACACTATTGTGTTTTGCTTTTTTTTGTTGTTGTTTTTGTTGTTGTTGTTGGTTTTATCGGTGTTCAATTTGCCAACATATAGAATAACACCCAGTGCTCATCCCATCAAATGCCCCCCTCAGTGCCCGTCACCCAGTCACCCCCACCCCCCGCCCACCTCCCTTTCCACCACCCCTAGTTCGTTTCCCAGTTAGGAGTCTCTCATGTTCTGCATAGACACTATTGTTATCCTATGTTATAAATGCAGTGACTAAGGCACAGTAAAATTAAGTAACTTTTCTAATACCACAGAGCTAGTAACAGGCAGAGGTGGAATTTGAACTTAAGCATTCTTACGAAAGTTCTATCCATAGCTAAAAACATGTTCTGTTTTATGTTACTGAAAGCTGTGCTTAGAAAGGAGATCCTGATATAATGGCAACATGGGGCAATCTCAAAAACGTTATGCTGAGTGAAAGAAGCTAGACACAAAAATCACCCTGTGTAATTCTATTAGTGTGAAACTCTAGAAAGGCCAGATCTAACCCATAGTGACACAAAGCAGATCGGTGGTTGCTTGGGCTAAGCATGAGGACAGGATTCCCTAGGAAGGGTCAGAGGGTTCCAGATTTATATTTGTAGTCACTCTGTAGTTCTGTCTCTCAAACACTTTCAAACTCATGCTGTAACAGGAATCGACAGAGCTATGGGTTTTTTTTTTTTAATTAATTTTTTTTATTTTTATTTATGATAGTTACACACACACACACAGAGAGAGAGAGAGACAGAGACAGAGACATAGGCAGAGGGAGAAGCAGGCTCCATGCACCGGGAGCCCAATGTGGGACTCGATCCTGGCTCTCCAGGATCGCGCCCTGGGCCAAAGGCAGGCGCCAAACCGCTGCGCCACCCAGGGATCCCAGAGCTATGGGTTTTATTGTATATTCATACATATATAGACAAAAGGGAACTGTCTGTTTTTATCCTCAGGGCTGACGAATACATATATGAATACAAGTATTTACATCTTTTAGGAATACAGAGATATCACATGATGTTTCAATTGCTATTTTATCTTTTTTTTAAGTAATCTCTACACTCAAGATGGGGTTCACACTTACAACCCCAAGATCAAGAGTCCCATGCTCTACTGACTGAGTCAGCCAAGTGCCCTTGGTATTTCAATATCAATACTGAGGCAACAGTTATAAAGTGCAACAACCAATTAAAATAACATATTTTAGAAGTTAAAGATTATTTTTAGAAGTTCCAAAAAAATTGTCTTTAAGTTCAGTGTCTTAGAAGGCTCTTCCCCAATCTTGCAGAAATAATTCAAGGACAGTTTTATTGATTATTTAAGACAAACTCTTGAGGTATAGCTTACATATAATAAAATGCATACCCATTCTAAGTGTACAGTTTGATTAGGCTTGGCAAATGTATACACCTGAATACCCACACCACCATCAAAAGGTAGAGCTTTGCCACTACTCCAAGCAGGTCCCTCTGACCCTTCCTAGGCAATCCTGTCCTCACGCTTGGTCCCAAGCAACCACCGATCTGCTTTGTGTCACTATGGGTTAGATCTGGCCTCTCTAGAGTTTCACACTAATAGAATTACACAGGATGATTTTTGTGTCTAGCTTCTTTCACTCAGCATAACGTTTTTGAGATTTCCCCATGTCGCCATATATATCAGGATCTCCTTTCTAAGCACAGCTTTCAGTAACATAAAGCAACACGTTTCAGCTATGGACAGAGCTTTCATAAGTATTTCCAAGTCCACACATCATTAGGATAAGATTCTTTGAACCAGTTTTATGACATGGAGCCATGTCCACTCATCTGCAGTTGCTAGAAAGAGGAGACATACCCTTCCTGAAATTCCTTTCCTCCTGCTGCATTCCTAAGACCCAATATCAGCTTTCCACCATCACCTAACTGAAAAAGGTTTAACTGAAAAGAGCTAAAAAAAAAAAAAAAAAAAAAAAAAGAAAAAGAAAAGAAAAGAAAAAGAAAGAAAGAAAGAAAAGAAAAGAGCTCAAAACTGACTACATGGGAAGAAGAAAAGCAGAAACTAATTTTAAGGGGTCCCTGGGTGGCGCAGCGGTTTGGCGCCTGCCTTTGGCCCAGGGCGCGATCCTGGAGACCCGGGATCGAATCCCACGTCGGGGTCCCGGTGCATGGAGCCTGCTTCTTCCTCTGCCTGTGTCTCTGCCTCTCTCTCTCTCTCTGTGTGTGTGTGTGACTATCATAAATAAATAAACATTTAAAAAATCATAAATAACAATTTAAAAACAAGAAACTAATTTTAAGCGAGAGGAATAAGGGGGCATGTAACGTTCTCCTCTGATGAACCTGCTATAAATTAGCACCCTCTCCAGTCACATGTCCCTGATTTATCCGAGACACGGGTCACAGTCCGAAGTGACGTCGCTCGCATCCCTTCTCCGACTACTCGCGGTAGACTGGACAGGCCTTCGCGAGCACCCGCATCCCTCCCCGGGGGAGGAGCCTACGCTCTCGCCCTCAGCGAGGCACCCGTGGCCTCGTGGTGCACTTTGGCCAGGTCCGGCCTTGCGGGGACGCACGGCCCCAGCTCGCTGGAGCGCAGCCTTCCCTCCCCGACGCTGCTGGCCGCCCGCCCGGCCCCCCGCCCGGCCCCCGCCCGGCCCCCCGCCGTGGAGGAGCCAGAGCCGCGAGCAGCAGCTGGAGCGGGGCCCGCGCGGCCGGCGCCCCCATCGGGCCTGCCCCCGTTCGGCAGGTGGACTGTTGCCGTGCTCCGCCTTGGGCCCCAGCACCCGGCGCCCGCCTGTCAGGTGGCTCCTGAGCTGTGCTCGCGGCGGAGGCTGCGGGGCATCCCGGGGCGGAGCCAGGCCGGCGTCTGGCCGTCCCCGTCCCCGTCCCCGGCATCGCGGGCCCCCGGGGGCCGTACACGGGGCGCTCCAGCCTCCTGCCACCAGGGAGGGACCGGGAAGCCCTGGCCACGAGCTGGGCCCGAGCCAGGCCCGCGGCCCCGTCGCCTCCTGGGCCTGGGCCTGGGCCTGGGCCTGGGCCTGGGCCTGGGCCGGGTTCGCAGGGACGCCTCGCCCACCGGCCTCTCGCCGGACCTCGCTGGGCCCTTTCCTTTCCTGTATCTCATCCGCCGTCACCACGCGCCCGCCAAAGGCCCTTTGCTCCCGGCCGGGGCCGCTCCCGGCTCAGCGCGGCCGCGATGCCGCCCACGTTGGCCTCGGGGGCTGCGGGGGCTGCGGCGTCCTGCGTCCGGTCTCCGCGTCGCCACCTAAGCTCAGCTCAGACGCCAGCTCTTGGGTTTCCCCTCGGGAGGACCCTCTCCCCTGCCCCCACCTGGGCGCCGCGCCCCAGGTGGGAGCCAGCGGAGCATCACGGGCAGCGGAGAGCGGGGCGTGCGGCGGGCCCACCGCATTGCTATGGCTTGGGCACGATTGTGACAGCGACCCCCGAGGGCAGAAATCCTGCGAAGGGGTCCTCTCCGGGGATCCTGAGGGGATGAAGGCCCAGAGAGGTAAAATGACTCGTCCAGTACACCCCAAACTGCATTTACCGTTGTTGATGGCACCTCCACTCCTTTTCCCAAATCACCTACATTCCAAAGGCCTGTCTGATGTTCAGAAAGTACTAACGGAGTCTGCTTCCCCTTGTGGCGGGGAGAGCACAGGAAACGTCCCTGCAAAGATTGTATGGTCACAGCCTGGAGCTTCACAGCAAGTCACAGGACACTCAGCTGGTCAGAGCACAAGGGCGAGACTTCCTTTTTTTTTTTTTCAATAGATGAATTTTATTGTATTTTTTTTTAATTTTTTATTTATTTATGATAGAGAGAGAGAGAGGCAGAGACATAGAGGGAGAAGCAGGC